TTTCTAGTTACTTGTATATAAGAGTGAATCGGTTCTCTGTTCATTTGTGACGCTGAAGAAGAGTGATGGATGTCACTCGAAACGTCCGGAAATAAATCCGTTAACTGATCCAGTAGTAGAGTTTGAATTTTCTTACGAGTATCGTTTACCTGGATGTCTAACCTTCATCAAATGTTTGTAAAAGTTTGTCCTCAACTGTCGTAGGGGAAAGAAAATAGTTTAGTTACTGCAGCTTATCAAAAGTAGCAGAGATATACCACACCATCAACGCGTGTTTCTATTAATAGTGACTTGGCCATGGTACAAAACGGAAGGAATGCAAGACGATTTGTCATTGGCGCAAACATGAGAATCAACATCGAAGGTCACAAATTACTTGTAGACGTTAAGAGAAATGTAGCACATGGAACTGGCGGCAGGGATAGAAGTGCTGTCCGAAAATAAAAGTCTCTGGCTCATGTCTAGTCATGTCTCTCCAACCCAGGCCTTTATTTTGATTGACGCAAACAAAAATGGTGTTGTGGACAAGACCGACCTGAAATCGACTTGGACGACACTGGGTGAGTATGTGGGAGCAGACATGTCGTCAGTGTCACGTGACTGTCTCACGCAATGCTCTTCGTCCCCTCCTCTTCTCGCACCCTCAGCACTCTGCCTCCTTCTACAAAAGAAAGCTAATTTGTTTAATAACGTACAAAATAACTGGGAATGGGATTGAAATTACGTATACGGCATCATTTAGTGATGGCAGCGTATTGTGCTCATCTTGGAGGAAACTCTTGGTGCAGAATGGAGTCAGAAAAAAATAAACATGCATAAATTTACAATAAAGCATCAACAGGAAAGAATTGCAGGAAAGAAGTGGCTTAACTTGTTTTAAATCAGCATTTACTACACGTATGGAAATATGAGAATATGACATGCTCACTATTCTACTGGCTTTTGCATTATATGTGTACACACACACCCTTTCTGTCCATTGCAGCTTTTATGTGCAGCACTTCTCAAGATCGCTTGGGGAGCTTTTGAAACGCTGCCCAATGTATCACCTGTCTTACTGTTGCACCTGCTGCGCTCTGTTGACTGTTTGCCATGTTCCCCTGTCGTTCGCAGTGTTTTATGCTCTGTGACGTCGACCACAATGGCTTCCTGGAAAAGAGTGACCTTGTTGTGGTGTTTGAGAGGCTTGGTGAGTCTGCTCTGTCCTCCTTCCTTCCTTCCTTCCTTCCTTCCTTCCTTCCTTCCTTCCTTCCTTCCATCCTACCTTCCTTCCTTCCTTCTTTCTTTCTTTCTTTCGAATTCTTTCTTCGTTTCCTTCCTTTTTTCATTCCTTCATTCCTTCGAATTTTTGTCCTTCTGTCGTTCCTTCGAATTTCTTCCTTCCTTCCTTCTTCCCTTTTCTTATATTATTGCGTGTGTTTCTATGCCAGGTAATTTTAATTCATGGGATATATCCTTTCCTTTAGATGTATGTTTCCGGGACTGGTGTGATTCTCTACATAGAAATATTGTGCACTTGTATCGCATTTTTTCCTGTGTTTTCTGTTTTAATTTTTTTTCCATTCAACGTTGGTCAATACTTTCCTTTCTGATTAGAAAATGACTACCACAAATATAACACATGCTTGAGTCGTATATGAACTTGTTCCAATGTCGTGCCCCCCTCCCCCTTACCTTGTAGGCAAGTCGGTGACTGACAAGGATCTTGACGCCATGATTGGACAGGCCACCGGTCCTATCAACTTCACCATGTTCATGACCCTCTTCGGCGGCAAACTTCAAGGTATGTACTCCATTCAATACATGTTGTTACTTTGTTGTTATTAGGAGTTATGTTACTATTGAACAATGCTAGATTTTGTGTTCTAGTTTGCTTAAATAAAGCCCGACGACTCACTGCTACCGCTCCAGCTTAAAGAAAACTTTAACCACTCCTTATTGCTGCCTCACAGGTTCGGACAAGGAGGAAGTTCTGTTAGAAGCGTTTGAAAACTTAGACGCAGCAGGAACTGGGATACCAAAAGACAGGTAAGTTTACAAACTTGAGCTTTAATTTTGATTTTCATGAAATAGGTGCCGGACCGTTTTGCAGACAGAACGCCTGTTTACATCCGTTTCTCTTCCCGCCACCACCCCAGCTTCATCACCCTGGTCTCGACTGCCGGGGAGAAGCCGTTCACTAAGGAGGAGGTGGCGGAGACGCTGAAGGTCCTGCCCATGGACGACAAGGGCAACATCAAGTACCGGGAGTTCGTCCGGATTCTGAAGGGAGGAGAGTAACAGGCTCACGCCGGGAGAGCATCACAGGGAGCCGGAGAGAGTGCGGGAGGAAAGAGAAGATTGTCGTCGTTTGTGGGGAGTTTGATGCCAATTTTACACTAGTCAACTCATTTTATGTATGTGTATAGCCGGTATAACCGCCCTACGGCGTAAGACACCAGCTAAACAGGGAATTCGTCCGGATTCTGAATTTTCAGTTCTGAGGTCCGCCAAGCTGAGGCACAGTTGTTCAAAGAACCAAGAAGATCGCATTTGTGTCTTAGAAAGAAAAACACATCATATATAGACAGGAGAATAATGTATATGGGTTATTGTGATATCTGACGAACTGTAGTCGTTTTCTTAGACCCTAGCGACGCAGACGTGCATGACACGGTGATCAGATGTAGATAGACTTAACATGTGTAATTTGAAGCTTGTTTAAGTTGTACACCACATTGCCTAATCGTCATTTTTACACCGAGGACGGTACTATGGGAGTCAAATAAACCCTTTAACATTGAATAGGCCCCGTGGAGATTTGTTATCACTTTGTACCAGACAGTATCCAAGATGTTTTAGCTTTCAAACGCTCTCTTGCTCGAAGGGAAGTGCCGTATCAGAGAGAGCGCACTAAGGGACCGTACGCTATTTCTCGGGGGAGGGGGAGGGATGGTGCGTGAGAGGGACAATCAAAACATTTTCCCCGACCCTCCCCCTTCGTCCAGAAAATTTTCCCTGACCCTCACAGTCATTTTTTTTCCTTGACCCTCCCCCTGGCTCAAAAAAATTCCTTGACCCTCCCCCCTCACGCACCACCCCCGGTAAATTTCGTACACTCCTAAAACTAAAAAGGCCGGCATCCTGCTACAACACAGTCACGAGTCTGGCGACGTTTACAGAACAACAGGTGCGAAACAGAAGTCTATGAAACTGATATGGGATATGATGTCACCATGACGTCACTGCGATTAGGATCAAATGGCAAACACGTCACCACGTCACGTATCGCCGAGTTGTCGCTCACATGTTACCTGGAGTATGATTGTTACTTGTCATATCATATTCGACTCATCAGCTTAGAGAGAATTACCCAGGATCATTCCATAATGAATATTGAGAAGTAACAAAAAAAAACCGGTTGTTGTGACTGTTAGAATCGCAACAGCTTTACTTTACTTGACTCAGTTCTCTAAATGTCACAGAGAGAAAGAGACCTGGAGAGAGAGAAAGAGACCGAGAGAGAGAGAGAGAGAGAGAGAGAGAGAGAGAGAGAGAGAGAGAGAGAGAGAGAGAGAGAGAGACCAAATATTAACGACACTTACGGTCGTTTCAGTCACTTTATTGGTCACAACTTCTTTGTGTCCAGAACAAATTCTAGACCTCGCCTGTACAAAGGTTTGGTTACAATCCAGACAAAGGTTTTCTAGCATATGGGTACATTTTTAACGGTAGGTTTTCCCCCTCTTCTCAACTAATCAAACTGAAGAACTTTTTCTAAGATTAAGGCTCCTCTGCCACGTCCCTTCTCCCGAAGCGGAAATGAAACTTTGGTCGTCATCATGCGGAACATCTGAGCCGCCCACCACAGCAGCCGTTTTGTCTTCTTCTCCCGCTCCACCTGCTCCTTCATGCCCTGTACACATCAAGCATTGGTCGCCGACGGCCGCCTACCGGTTCCTGTAGGTGCTTCACCAAGGCCTCGGCCTCCCTCTCTGTGAGACGCACATCCTGAACAGGGATGTCAGAGGGCTCGCTGACGTCATCGTAGTCCAGCAGCGCCAGTAGGTTGGCTCGTTTCTGCCCGCTGGCCTCGTCCTGGGACGGGGAGGAGCGGCGGTCCAGCCGGGAGGGAGACTGGAGGTCGGCCGCCGCGGCCGTGGTCACCAGGACCGCCAACTGAGCACAGCTAGCTTCCGGGACATTTCACTGTAACGGGAACATTAGCAGGACAACTCAATCAGGACAAAGTTGTAAAGACTACCAAATTGAATGCCTTTCAGCACTAAGGACATGCACAACATATTCACATTGCATTCTCTGTATTGACCTTTCTAAACATGTTTCTCTCACGGTTCCCCGATTCATGGATATCAGAAAGAGTAAAACGGTAAAACCCTGATCTGTACGTGTAAAAAGCTGCTGGTTCACCGATAAAATTACAACAGGAGGATATGGATAAAGCTTGGCTGGTAGATGTTCTGTCTGTCCATTTCCTTTGAAAGGCAGTACATGACAAGGTGATGTCAACTCGCAACACCCCCACGTGCCTACAAATGACATGTGTGTGTTATACGTTATCAGGGGATATACAATTTCAACAAGTTTGTCATTTGTGGAAGCCCTGTCGTTTTTGCTCTTACTCACTTTACTTACTTAATCCGTCCACTTCTACCATCTGGGGTGTCGTAGGGAGGTACAGTTGGCGGCTGACGGCGAGTTTTTTCTCACTCTCTTGAAATGAGACATGGGAAGTCATGAAACTGAAGACGAGCTATCCGCCCATTTTCGTTCTTCCTGCACGTCAACACCTAGCTATAAATTTGATTAGAAATTAATTGATTCTTGTGGTATCAACTACGATGGACAGGGTAAATGAACAAGGGACCTGTTGTCAGGCCACATAACTGTCTTCTCAATCCTGTGTTTCATTTCAACAAAAGCGCTCAAATAGTCATATATTCTATAAATACAATGGTGATATACAGATTGTGTGAGTACCAATAATATACAGATTTCACGAGTGCTTCATGTGTCCTAACAGCTAGACATTCTTCATTTCATTTCTTCATTTCACAAATGAAAAAACTGCTTAGGCCACACCAATTTAATTTGTTGGTTCTCGGATTTTTTCATGAAAAATGTAAAGCGACAGGGACGAAAAAAAAAAAAAAAAAAACAATGCCCATGCTAGTATACATGCTAAAACATTGCTGTTTTATAGCCTATGCAGGGTTCTCACCAGGATTTTTTTCACAGCATAGGGGGACCTACTGCAGCGAGGCCACACGGCAGGCACGGCGTGGGCACAATGTGTATTATGGTATTCATAATTTCAGCAAGGAAATCTTTTATTTCCTAATAAATAAAATTATTAGGCAATTTTATGTCAAGTGATATGTTAGACAATATTGGACAGTATTTACTGCTAATGAAACTTGACAATGTTGAACTATTTCCTACAATTTTCAACTTATACAAGTGTAAGTCAGAAGTAGTTACAATGATTAAAGCTCATGTACATAATAAAGGATTCATTCAACTAAACACCTCCTTTACTATACAGAGTAGAAAACATAAAAGGGACCATCATCAAAACAAAAAAATGGCTTCATAATTTTGGTAAGACAAATTTCGACACAATGTCTTACCTTTAAAGAAACTTTTCTATCCTATTTTAAAGTTAAGCTATATAAAAGCAATCTAGCACAGTGTTAATCATGTGACCCGTGAAGAAAATTCGGGCCAAGTTTGTCAAAGTCAGATTTCCTGAGGGTAGAAAATTAGTCACACATTGTCAAACCTCTTTGGCCAATGTGCGCCTCGGCCACGAGGGAGAATCTCATTTCAAATACCAGCTTTGCCAACAATGTCACCTTTGAGGCTGTTTAGAATATTGTTTCCTCTATTTTCCCCTCAAAAATTAGCCAAATTAGTCAGATTGCAGTTCAGAATCCCCCAAACAATAAGCCTATTCTGGGAACATTTTGAAACGCCCACTTAGCTCACTTGTACGTAAGATACCTCGTCACCTGACCTCGCTAATGATATAAGGATATCAAGTCTCGCGAGAGTTGGGCCGAGAGTTTAAAATGAACAAAGAAAGATGGCGGATCGGATTAGAAAGACGCCAGCGGCCCGATGTTTCATCAAGAAAATAAGCTATTTACCGCTTTCTCTGCCAAGATAACGGTATCTGGGGACTTTTAATGGGTTTTCTTACAAATGGACACGCTTTTCACTGGCACTAATATTGTATTTTTACCAGGAAAACTGGTGCCAGCCACGCTGTACTGGGGAGTCCCCAAACAGTGAAACACACGTTCCCCGACGTCCGGGGCTTTGGGGTAGAATTAATTTTTTTTTTTTTCATTTTGCGATTTTTTGAAGCGGCGATTCCGAGAACCAACAAATTAAATTGGTGTGGCCTTATCGAAAGTCAAAACGCATGAAAAGACCAAACTCCGTGTCCAAATGATGTATGACTATATATATGACAGGCAAACAGGTTGGCGCATTACTTCACGTTTATTCAAACCATTAGGTTATAGCTGAGATAGATACCGCACCTCAACTGTACCTGAGATCGGAAAACATCGCAATGTCAGCAAATAGTCTGTGAAATAAAACCTAAATCGAGACTTCTGTGGGCGGACGTAAAGTTTATGTGATATAGTGGATTCGTGTACTGCCAATTTGAGTGTTAGTGTGACCGAAATATGACACAGTGCCTCTCAAAAGGCTTATCGTGTGGGATACCCTTTCCCGCCCTTTCTTTTGAGTTATCGGGTTGATAGGCGTAAAAGTACAAGTTTTCCTGATTTTCAAGTGCTAGATTGTTAAATTTGACATCTTTGAGGTTCAAGGTACCTATCACCTAGAGTAAAAAAAATACCATTGTGCCCAGTAATGTTTTACTATTTAGTCCAGGTACAGGTACACACGAACGTACATGCACACATTCACAGACACACACATTCACAGACGCACACATTCACAGACAGGCACAAACACGAGCAAACATACAAAAGTCAATGATCAAGCGTAAGCATTGTTGTTACCATTTTGGTTATTTATTGAGTTTGTTTGGCTTCATTTTAGGCTGAAAAGCCATATGGGCGAGGAAATCTCAATCCTCTCGACTCGAACTACATTATTTCTGTCGAGGTAATCGCTTTCCGATTTCTGATTATCTAATTTTGCTATTCGTCAATATTTATTGTCCATCTCAGCAGAGACCGAGTTGTGAACAATCTTTGTACCTATTGTTTCTCCCCGTCTTGCCGCCAATGAACAAAGATTGTAGCTGTAAGATTAGCGTTCTTCCCCCTCGTCCCCACCCCTCTTTCCGAAGCGAATGAAAAACCCGGCCTTCTGTGGCTTGATGGCGCGAAATGCTTGAGCCAGCCGGGACGGGTCTTCTGGTGCCTTCTTCTCCCGCTCCACCCCGTCCACGCTTGGTCCCCGTTCCGCCCCGCCCACACGAGGAGGTCCTGGCTGGTAAAAACGACCACTGTGCAGCGGTCGGCGAAGGCCGCCTACCGCTTCCTTTAGGTACTTCATCAAGGCCTCGGCCTCCTCTGCCGTGAGACGTTCACCGACGTCATCGTCGTAGTCGTCCAGCAGCGCCACTAGGTTGGCTCGTTTCTGCCCGCCGGCCTCGTCCTGAGACGGGGAGGACCGGCGGTCCAGCCGGGAGGGAGACTGGAGGTCGGCCGCCGCGGCAGTGATCACCAGCACCGCCAACAGCACAGCTAGCTTCCGGGACATTTCACTGTAACGGGAACATTTACATGCCAGAAAATCAATATCGAATCCTGCGAAAAATTACTATGAAGCTGGCTACTACATAAGTTCACCTTGCACTACTAAAATGAATGTCTTTCAGTACTAAGGACATGTCCAACAATTTTACATGACATTCATACTTCTTTGATTTTTTCACCTCTTGCGCCTTTCAATAGTGTGCTTGGTACCGAATGATATTCAGTCTGTAATAATTACAACCATTTATAAAATATGAAACACTTTTATGAAATAAGAAACACTAAAAACACCAAGACTAAGATGCATTTCACTGTTGACAAAACGAAATGCATATATTTGGAAAGTTATCATGCCTTACGCAACTACAGGGCGTGAAATAGAGTTCGCGTTGTGGCATAAACTCCTATCTAAACACTGATTTCTGGCATACAGGTATTCTAAGATGATATTCCAGAAATAAATTTAAAAACGTTGGATAGTCGTGATCTATGGCTGGTATTTCGCAGCACAAAAACCTGAGATTGTTGGAATTAGGAGAAAGGAAAAGTACTACTAACCTGTACTTGTAATTTGCCGCTGCTTAAGTGATAGAGAATGGGTGTTTCACCTGCAGATAACAATAGGATATGAACAGTGCCTTTCTGGTAGAGGTTCTGAATGAAATATTCTGCTTCTCTGCTCTGCTTTTAAAGCTCTATGAGTAACCGTACCGCCCACGCCCATGGGAATGGTCCACATGTGTGCCGGGTGTGGGTGTGTGTGTGTGTGTGCATAATTTCCAGGTTGGTACCAGATAACTTAACTAAAAACTTGATATCATGAGGCAAGGCCTACCATTGTGTCCTATATGCAACAAAACATAGAGAATATCGTAGAAAAAAGTTGGCTTGTCACACCCTTCCTTCCCTTCCATTCCCCATGTGGAACATGGCACGTCCCAAGGGCGGATGAAATCATAGTCAAGTAAATTGAAACTCCAGAAGGAATCCGACCTTTCACGCTTCGAAGTGTCCGATGATGTAAGAGTACGGTGCAGGGTTGGTTTTCAATCTAGAATTCAGTTAGATTTATCAGTATATATATATATACTAAAGTTCCCAAAAGGTTCCGAGCGAGCTTGAATGAATGTGTGAGTGAGTGAGTGAGTGAGTGAGTGAGTGAGTGAGTGAGTGAGTGAGTGAGTGAGTGAGTGAGTGAGTGAATAAGTGAATGAAAGCATTCAAACGCACGAGTACATGGATATACATGCATCATATAACTGCTGAATTTCTGCGGCAGGCAAGTGCTGTTTGGAAATGTGAGCGATAAATATTTGTGATTAGATTAATATCCAATTAAGATTGATATCCTAAAAGCATCGTGGGCGGAAACACAAGCTTTAATATCTGATATGACAGTGTGAACAGAACGATATCGATATGCCACGAGTTCTCTCCACACGCCCATCTTTCGGATCCTCTTTCCCGCTCATTTCTACCATGCAGTCACGCCGCAACCTATCAGGTTGATATGACGAACATCCATTCGTCATTATCCTTATTGATGAAATGATATCCAGGTAATACTATCGATTAGAGAAGATAACATTTAACTTCAACGTCGCTTCTCCTCCTGACTCGTCCTTCATCTACAATGTTTCACACGTCTTCCAGAGAAGGGACCAAATGAGCGCATCACCCTTTGGTGCAAAAGTTACATTTCCCGCAAGATGGCCTCACTACTCTGCCACTGCCCAAGTATGACCTCAAGTAACCCCTGGGAACCGCTGCACGCAGAAAAACGCAAATAACCGCTACTTCATTTGAGTTTGTCTCATGAACTATACTGAAAATTGCATATAAATACATGCATGAAAAACATGTAATCTGTTAAGTATTTAGATATATATTGAAATTTATGCGACAGCCTTCTTGTGAGAAATATTTTGAGGTTTGTCTGCGATCATTGTGATGTTGAGAAGATGGAGAACGAAGTTAGCACCTTCACTTTAGCTTCTTTCTCGTCGTCTGATCAGGAGAAAACAGTAGATCTACAGGCGGAGCACAACGGCGGAGGCT